TTCAACTGTTCAGCTGAAGAGCTGAAGCTGAAGCTGAATTGCCATTTGGCTTTTGACCTTTCGATATAACTTAATTTTCTTTTTGCTAGACCGCCGAGGCACAGGGCTCCAAGTTGGATTTTATAACTAATCAAATTAGGCTGAGTTTTTGCAAATTTCATTTGCCAGCCTATTATTAAATTCTCAAGCACGTCTTTAAAGTCAAGGCGAGTGTCATGTGGCCTGCTTAGCATTTAAAGTGCTTTCACTATGGATTTACCGTCAACGCAATTAAGTCCTCCGGCCTGGCCTTTGAGCCAGCCTCCTTCGTCTCCCTTCGGCTCCATCGCCCTTTTTGCACGATTCTCGCATTTTTTACTGCTGCCTGCGCATGATAAGTGTTCGCTCAATTATTTTGCCATTGATAATTACTGTTGGCCTCTGCTGCAATATCCTTTTAATGGATTCACTCTGCCCCACTCTCTGCTCGGCTCGACTCTATTATGAAATGCCATTTAGAGCGCTTGCTCAACTACAATGGCCAATCTGCTGGCGATTTTCTTTTAAATCGATTCTCAAGTGCCGCCTCAACCTTTGCCTCAATATTTTCCTCGAACGGGAACCTTTTCTATTCCTCTGCCTCAATAGGTAAAGGAAAATCCAGAGAAATTGTAAATTAAACAAGCTGAATAGGAAATGCGGGAATTGATGCAGCATTTTACGGAAAATTACAGAATGAGTATTCCAAGAAGAAATGTTTTATTTCTTAAACGTGGTTTGTATGCAGGCATTTTATTTTATTTATTTTATTTGTAAATTGATGGTAAATGCAATTACATTAATTGATATCAGATGTAAAGATAATTGTAGAAATATTTCCGCTTTATAAATAAATAATTTGCTGTAGTTAGGTGGAGTTCTCTCTGCCCTGTGGCAGAGCAGTAGCTTGCTTTCAAAGTAATTTTTGTGATATAAAAGAGGAATTTACCTTTCCGGCAGCTGGGGTGTTATCTGCTCACGTGTCACAGGCATAAGTACACCCCCTCCTCTCCCTCACTCTCTCTCTCTCTCTCTCTCACTCGCCCCTGGTTGAGCTCCTGCCTGAACTAAAAGCAACGCGTTTTTGCTTGTTCTATTGCCGTAACAAATCCATTTTACCTGTCAGCTTTAACGCGTAAGCAAATGTCAAAACGGCTGCTGGCTAGAGCAGAGCTCCAACCCAAGATACCTGCATAAGCACACACACACACATTCACACTGACATACATTGTATCCAAGTACTTGTGCACACACACACACACACACACACACCTACATCTACATATATTTAGGTATCTGGCTATATGCGCGTTGATATATTGCCAAGTCGCAATTAGAGCGCAGACCGCAGAATGAAACTCTCTGGCTGCCATGTAAACAAGCCACGCTGTCAACAACAGCAACAACAATAACAACAACGACAGCAGCGGAATTACATTTTTGTGCAAACAAAATGAAACACTTTTACAGCATGCGGAAATTTGGGAGAATTGTGAGTTTTGTTTAACGAATCGGAGAGGCATTAAATTCAAATCTAATCAAGTGAAAATCAAATTTCCACGCACCAAATGCAGGCGTCTAATTAAACGCATGTGCAATGTACTCCAAGGGTGCCCAAGGCTCGTCGGGAATTGACTTTTGCATACAATCTGTCGCTAATTAGTCTCAGCGTCCAGGTTCGCCAACATGCGTGACAATCGCCTGGGGCACAGATCAAACGCGTTGCAAATTCGTTTCGTTTCTCTCTTTTTATTCGCATGTCGCTGGGTTTCTTTTTTTTCCAACTTCCCCAAGAGACATGGCCGGTCCTTTAGCAGTCCCAAGTGCCGTAAGTGAGGCGTGCAACAGTTTTCAGCGACCTTTCATTCGCCTCGCCTTTTCATTCGAAATCATATTACACGCGTCGCGCTGAGATCAAAGCATTGTGTGGCCCCGCCTTTGGGGAGCGTCGCCCATGCAGCGTGGGGCAAATGAATTTGCTTTCATTTTATAATACAAATTCTTTGTTACACTTGCAATTCTCTGCGAAACAAATTGATCTTGCAAAAAAATAAGTGAATTTATAATTAATGTGTGGCTAATGTGATGCTAAAGGAGAAATGGCATCCCCGCAAAGCTACAACGTTAAAGTGAACATATTTTATATACAGAATAAATAGACATATAATTTATATGTTATTTTATATGTAACATATATATATATAAAATTGTAATACAGAAGAGTCCGATTATAGCGCTCCTATGGTAATAATACAGAACGTATTACTCTCTGCTACTAAAATATATCACAGCCTTTTCTCTGATTTCCTCTTTTCTCTTAATAAAAACATTGCTTTCTGCTCTTCTTGGAGAATTTACTTACACAGCGGGGGCAAAGCTTTGCTTTTTCACATACTCCTATTAGAACTTTTGGTAAAAAATATTTTGTGTGTTTGTAAAATTATTTTATAAATAATTTTAAAAATATATTTAATAATATATTCAACAAAGATTCAGTATAAACTCAAGAGAACAGCTGAGCTGAGCTGCGAAAAAAATCAATGAATGATTGCATAATGGAAACTGAAGAATGCCATCGAATCTGATAATATATGTAGGAAATCTTGTGTTAAATAAACAAAAAATAAAAAATAAAAAATTGCATTGGGAATGAATGCAGGCAAATGCAAATGTGTAACACAGTATGGCAAGCGGGGCACGCCCATTTTAGCATATTACAAAATGCAGCAAAACACATTTGAATAATGAGTCTGGAGCGAAGCAGTTCGGCTGGCAATGTCCCATGGCAACCAGGCGGGCGCTGGGGCTGGGGCTGGGGCACAGCTGGCTCTGTTTTTGGTCACTGACATTTTGGGATTTTGTGCGCAAATTTGAGTTTTAGTTTAAGCATGCAGTTGCAGCTTACAGCAACCACAATAGCTGTAGCAGCAGGAGCAGCGGCAGCAGCAGCAGCTGCTAAGTCAGCTTAGGTTATGTTTTGCTTTGTTCTGTTTTGTTCAGCTTGGAGCTGGAAACAAAAGTTTGCAATCCAATGCTAATTATGCCGCCCGGACCAGAAACTCTCAATTCGGTTGCCAGACAGTTAGTTAGTTGGGTAGTCGCGCAGTGGCTGCTGGGTTCGAGAGGCAGCTAATTTTTGGCAGCTGTCAGCAGAGCGCCACATAAATCCCTCAAAAGTCAACAACATTTTGCCCAAGTGGCACATCAATTCGCGTGCTTGTCAGCCACAATGCACACAATACAAACAACACACACACACACACACACACACACACATGGCGCACACACACTCGCGCATTTGCATGCTAAGATAGAGAACATGACATATAGCGGGCACACATCATATTGCAATCGTCAGTTGTGTCACCGCATGCAACGTCGCTTATCGCTCATCTTTGTAATGATTGCAACAGCTCCGCGACAGCCCCCAACAATAATCCCATCTGCTTGCGAGCAGAGCCCCAGCCGCGCAACGCCAACGCCAAAGGCCAACCCCAACCTCAGCCCCAACCCAATTCCTTGTCTGTTATGCATTTTTCATAACGCAATTCGTGTTATTCACGCGCTCGCGTCAAGACGAAATCTTTCTCACTCCCAAGCGCTGTAGCATGACGACTGCTGTGCACAGTGGTGCAAGAACACGTGAAAATTTAAGTCTTCAAATTAAA